GCCGGTCACAGATGCTGGCGAAATGTTAGGAAACAAAACTTCCAGAACATGGCCACACAGCCCGGAAGACCCACACCAGCCTACAGGAAACCCCAGCTCAGTAAGGTGCCTGACTCTAAGGTCCTTAGAAATTGCTCCCTAGTCAGTTTCATGGTGAGTGCTCTCTCCTGGAATCCTGGCTAATTTTCTAAGAAATCCTAGAGGGCAGGTTTCCCTTGGCACCTTTTAAGGATCTTCCTTCTAAAAGGGGATTCCTGGGAAGCCTGGGGATTTCCAGGGGATTCCATCTGGCCCTGGAAAATAAAGTCTCTCTCTCTCCTTCAAGCAACCTTGTGTGTTTATTCCCAGCTGGGAGACAAACCTCATTAAGTTTGCATTCTAACAGCCTGTTTCTGTTCTGATTGTTTTGGAAAGTTAAGATGATGTATGTCTTCTAAGAGAGAGAGAGGTCTGTGTCTGTGTCTGTATGTGTGTGTGATGTCTACACCATAAATGTGTATTCTTGGAGGGTTTCCTTTCCATCCTTCAAAACTACTGCTAGGAAACTGACTGGGGAGATTATTGCTACTGCAAGTGGGGACATAGGTGTTCTGTGCTTATTTTTTTATGCCTAGTTGTATAATTTATTTATATGGTTTCAATTAGGGTTAAGAGACAATTAATTCTGCCAGTCTGACTATGGGAGCAGGAGAGCCCTTCTGTAGGATAAATTATTTACACAGGCCCCAAATCTCTACACAAAAGTCCTCCAAAAACTCAGGGAACAGGAATGTACAGTCAAAACAATTCATTATCTTGGTGGTCCTCTTTCATCATTCTTGATTCTCCTGCTTTGGACCACACACGTTCCCCTGTCCCAAAAAGATTACACAAGAATCTTAGGAGAAACATTGCTTGGCTGTGATTTAAATTGGCAAGTCTGTTAGAATTCGGCAGTATGTAGAAATCACTTGCCAGCCTTGACTGAACTAAACTCACTGGAAAAAGGGAATAGTATTCTGGGAATCAGATAATACAGAAAGAACAAAAGTTCAGAGAGGTGGCTTTGGATGCCAGTTACATCGGGGAAAGAAAAGTGGAAGAAGTGTGAAGTATGAAGCTGATGGGGAAACATGTATAGGCAATTGACCAATGGCTTACAGTATTAAAAAAACTAGGGTTTAAGGCAGAGGTGGGCAGTGTGTAAGTCCTAAAGTCTTTTTTGTAGCCCGTCCAGAAATTGACCACAGCAAGTAACTGAGAATTGGAGGCACAACTTCTCGTTATTTAGCAGAAAATAACTTAGAAACCCATAGGCTTATCCCTTCCTAAAATACAATACAGAAATACCTACTCACACTCAGAAAACAATCATGCATATCTCTGAAATTTTAGTCCTGCCTACTTTAGCAATGTTACCAGCAACCAATCACACTATCTATTGGGACCTTTGGACTTTAATTTGTTTATTTTCAAGAACAGTTGCCTCATTTTAACATAAACTTTGTGGTGAAACATTAGGAAACTTTTTCTCAGAGGATTTTAAGTCAACCCTGAGTATATTCAAGTCAGACAAATGGAATAAATCGACACATACAGCCTCTATTTATACCAGTAAGACGTACCTGCAGCACAAAATGATATTGTGTAGAATATTCACTAAAATCTGAAAGCAATGAGGGGAAAATAAAGAAAACAACAAGTGAATATAGATTTTCAGGCACATTTTCATTAATAACTATCTTGATTGTGGAGTCATTGTATAAATTACATGATAATAGCAAATAATTTGAGGATTCAGGTTTTGATTACCAAACAGCCTCTAAGTCATATGGTTGCCTCCCACCCAACTCCATCTCTTTCAGATAAATTCTGATACTTCTTTTAGAAGGAATCTGGTAGCCCCTTTTCTGACTAGCAAATGTTATTAAAAGGCAAATTTTATTAAATTTGTTAGTCAGAAAAGACCAGACTCCAGACTCCTCCTGACTAACACAGCTGTCCTTCTATAATGTCAGATACTTTTTTGCAACTCTTCTGAATCTTCCCAAGGAAAAGTAATATGTAGATTAGTACTATTAACAGTACACAGTACACAGTACTATTCTCTGAAATGCAAGACTTAAAAAAAGAAATCCTTGATTTCACATATTTGCAATAGGCCCTGCGACAATCTTAAGATCATTTTTTACTTCTAATTCCTCAGATACGGCTTTTGTATTCTTGAGTCTCTACATTCAAACTGTTTTTATCTTATGATCAACCACTAGTTGTTGAATTTCTCTCCACCTTTCTTTCTCTCTCTAAATCAGTCTTTCTCAACCCTTTTACCTGGAAGAACCCTTGAAATAATCTTCAAATCTCAGGGAACCCCTGCATAAAATTATTATATCTACAGCTAGCATTGCATGGTGCCCAAAGTTAAAAAAATATGTATTTTTCACGATCTCATAAAAACCCTAGCGACCTCTTATAGAACCCTGTTTGAGAAAGGCTGCTCTATATTTTCACAGATGCTTTAGACAATTGTTTCACCTTCTCTTTTAGTGTTTCCTCCTGCAGACCTTTCATAGATGCTTCAAGCCATTCCTGCACATTTAGATGGGATGTTTCTGGCCCTTCTTCTCGGAGGTGATTTATGGATACATCCAGCCACTCATTCACATCTTGCCTGGATGCTTCAGGACATTCCTTCTGAAGATGTTTTATGGATTCTTTAAGCCAGTCCTCCAGGTTCTTTCTGGGTTCTTCAGGGGATTCTTGTCTGAAACTTTTCAGAGATGCTTGTAGCCATTGTTGCACATTCATTCTGGATGCTTTAGAACCACGCTTTTGGAGATTTGCTACAGATGCTTGAAGCCATTCAGGTCTTAAGCAACTTTCAGAGGAAGCAGGTTCTACAATAATCACTCTTTCCCTGGTCTTTTCCATGTTTGCTTTTGATGCTTTAGAGTATTGTTCTTTGAAATCCTGGATGCCTCTAATAGATGCTTCAAGCCATCTCTGAGTATCTAGATGGGGTGCTTCAGCTTCTTCCTTTACAAGGTTATTAATAGATATTTCGAGCCATTTTTTTGCATCTGGTTTGGATGCTTCAGGACTTTTCTCCTCAAGGTTTTGAAAGGTATCTTTAAGCCATTTTTCCAGAATTGGTCTGGGTGCTTCAGAAGATAAGAGGCTTTCTAGGGATCCTTGAAGCCACTGTAATGTATTCTCCACAGGTCCTTCAGAACATTGCTTCTTGAGGTTATCTA